AGTACCGAACCAAGAATCTCCTTCTCCAAAAGTTATATCATTAGCCGTAAGTTTGGTACAAGTGATTGTCAAAAAGAGTTGTGAAAAGCTATATTTGATATTGTTATTGCACACCCTGCAACTTCAATATCATAAATAAACTGTTTAAATTATATATTATATAAATTTTGGATCTCCTTTAGTATAGGTGGGCATATATAAATTATAACAAGATTATAATATATAAAACCTAACTAATTTGAGCTAATTTAAATGCTAACCTTAAACCTAACTCTAATAATTAATAAAATTACTTAAATTAGTTCAAAAAAGTTAATTTATATATGTTATAATTATATAATAATTATATATGCCCACCTATGCTAAAGATCAACCTAAATTTTATACAAAATGGTTAAAATATTAAAAAGTTTTATTAAAAAAATTTTTTTATTTATTATATAAAAATTTAATATACTATGTAGATTATATGAAAAATAATTTATATACATCCTACTCTTAATAATAAGCATAAATTGTAATTGTAATTGTAATAATTACTCTAAATAAATTTGTTTATTGCATAAAAATATATAGTTGTTATTTTTTTTGACTATATAAATACAATAAATTTTATGCTTGCATTATTCAATAATGCTGGCTAAGCTTTCATAATGCTAGTATTTTATATCACATGTGTAATTTACATGAAATCCATGTTACTGAAATTTACATAAAATTACATAAAATGTAAAATTGTAAAATGTAATTCACAACCCTAACCATAACCTACTCACTAAGTAATGCTGCCCAGATGATAATTTTGCTATAATACAGTTATTTCTTAATGCCGGCTTAAATCCGACCCATAATTCGGGCCGATCTACTGAATTTTTGTTTCTTCATTAATCTATCCTATAGATTTAAATTTGCGCATTTGTCAACGCTCTCGTATATATAAAGCGCGTATAAATTTCTTTTTTTGCGCCAATAAAATTTTTAAATTTATAACACTGCTCACGTGTCAGTGGAATTTTGGTTAAAACCAGTTTTAATCGGTTTTTACATGAAAAATAAAACCGGTTCCAAACTCTAGGCGAAGATCTTCACTCGTTGCCAAGTTATTTGGTGAAAAACACGTCTAATAAAATCTTTTTTGTTTTTTTTGTTTTATTTTTAAAGAAGCATGAAATTGAAAAAAACAATTAAGAGCACCATGAAAGAAGATATATCAATTTTTAGTGACGCGTCTCCAAAAAGATCTGATTCTATTTATAACCAAATTAACGCGCCGCATTATCGGGACTTTCTCAATGATATAACTTTTGGAGAAGGAGATTCTTGGTTCGGTACTTATCAAATGCTTGACAAATTGGAACAATAATTAAACATACTGACGTTAAATTTATAAAAGATAAGCAAAATACTACGACCATATTACCATTTCTTGAAAAGAAGGTCGAGCAGTTTGAACCTCCAAAGCATCCCTCATTTAAGTCTTCAAGGGTACAAGTAAGATTCATGTCATATATATATCTATATTATATTTTTAATTAACGCATAATGTTCTTATTATCGTAGAAACGACAGCCTGTGAAGAAATTTGTCCCAAAGTTAACAGTGCCGAGACCGTTCAAATTTCACGCGATTAATCGTATTAACAAGACGGAGAATCAACTTTCAACATCACCATACATTCCACTGGCTGCGCGAGTTAAGCAATTCTTAGAAAAGACACCTGATAGGTTTAAACCAAAGCTCGTATCGATTAAGGTACATGGTTTTACCATGATAATTAATAATAATTAATGAGGATAACACTGTTTTAATGTATTTGCGCACAGCCTTTACCTCCAGCTCGTACTATACCCACAACAAAATCAAAACCATTTAAATTGGAAACTGATGCACGAGGAGAGAAATATAAACAAAATTTGCACCAGGAACTTACCAAGATGAAACGACGCGATAAGGAGAATCATATATTTCATGCAAAACCAGCACCTAAATTCCCAACAACACAAGTCAAAAAACCGAGTAAGCCACCCACAGTACCTGTTAGTTTTGTTTTCCAAACCGATACACGCATGAAGGAACGTAAAGCCTTTGATCAGCAAAGAAAATTGCGGGATCAAATGAAGAATTTACATAGGGAAAAGAAACGTGATGTACGGCACATGTGATGGGGTATTCAGTGTATTAGCATATTATGGTATATAGATAAATTTATGTGTAGTCCTATATAAACGTCGAATAGACAAATTTTTTGTGTATCAATCACGATGATCTATAATAAAATGCTTCTGATTTTTAAAATAAAATATAGTCTAGAGCTTCGATCCTATTTTGACAGGCAATCCGGTTTCTATTAAATCCGGATTGAATCCGTATTAGATTACATGAGTGTCGCTAAAAGAAAACCCGACAATTTATATATAAGTCATATTTAAATTGTCGGTTTTTCTTTTAGCGACACTCATATAGAGCTAGCTTTGTAGCACATCCTTATATCTGTTATTCAAGTTCTTTGACCAATCCGAGTAAAAATCTCTGATCTGGATATCTGAATCTATCTGGATTTAAAGATAAATTCGAATA